TACTCATACGCCTAATAAAGCTCACACAAGGAAGCAGTTGGGGGGGGGGGTGTCGAAGGACAGTGATGTGCTTTTTTTCAGTAGAGCGCCAAAGGAAATCCAAGCTTTGCATTGCCGAAGAACAGTTGAGATGCATTACTGATGCAGTGGCATGTACCTACGGTGTGGAGAAGGTGCCTTCACATCGGGACGGGAGAATATCTGACTTCTCCGCAAACAAAGGATTGGGAATGATGTCTGCGTTTGGCTTCATTTCCTCCCCGTGTTCCACGCGAAAAGTATGAAGAGCTGAATCGACACAACCGTGAACCATCTAGGAATGTTTCGTGCCGCACTTTCTCCCACTACATCACTGTATAAGTTTGGACTTACCACTACGGATCTCCTTGCATACGGAGCTGTGGCTGATCCCGTTTCTCCTCCAACACATCTGTTTCGGACCAGAGTTCCATAGTTCAATCCTGCAAGTAATTGACGGTCAACAGATATGATGCTGGCTGCAAGAACAAATTTAACTCCGGATGCAGTTGGCGGTGCTGCGGAGACCAAGTACCTCAGTCTCATGGTAGCTGCTGACTGGCACGGCTAAATCATGGGTGCTTCGTTACAGTATCGAATATGTTGAGATGGCTGGCGCAAGGTGTACCAAGGATAGCGTCGAGGTCGTCGGTCAAAAGAATATTGGGCAGTGTATCATTGTTCATGTGACCACCTGATCTGGTGGTTACTTTGCCATTCGTCCAAACCTGGCTTAGACTTAATCCCCTTGTCGTCCCAAAAATACATGCAGTCAGTTCCGCTTACTTCTTCTTTTTCTTGCTCTTGTTTGTGGGAGGCCTGCCACCGGAACATGTCGAGACGTAATCTTCCCTTTTAACATGAATGACATACCAAGTTGGAAGTGTCGTAGTATTGCATGGCACTTTATCATGGCAATTTAATGCTCTGTAAATTTGACTCTCAGTATGAGTAGCCATGACTATGACAGCCTTACTTTTTCTATACAATTGGCTAAAATTCTGGCCTTACCAAAATCCCCACCTCCTTTATTGCAGTCTGAATATGAATAATCAATTTAGTCATATTTATTTTTCTAATTGGGACTTTGCTTCTAGAAGCTGTAAGGGAGAAAGCAAATTTTGATAATGTCATATTTTACCAAAATTAGTGTTAGTTAGAAAACCATTTTTTCATTGCAATCTGATCTTCGTACATTCATTTGCTCGGCACACATAGCTTGATTGTACATGACATCGATGTATAATCAGGCTTCGCTTAATAGTATAGTTGTAATCTATTTTCTCCTTTCCATTTCAGCCATTAGCAGCCATTTACTTTAAATCAATTCGCAAACAAACTTGCCAGTCAGATTTGAAAAATTATTGATCCGCAAAAATTTGTTGTCGAAAACTTGAAATTTTAAATGAAAAGTGATCTGGACTTTTGCGTGATTCAGGGGTGTTTGTTAATCTGCTTCGCTGTAACCTCGTGCGACTCCATTCTTTTGTCGGAACACAGGCTTCCGGCGTGTCTCAGTTGTTTGGGCGTATTGGCTAGCGGATGGGCTGCCGCTGTGGTCGCGTCGGGTGATTTTCCCTTATACTTCCTTCTTCTTCTCAGATGGGAGCACATCAAGTATCTTCATTTGCTTTAGTGAGTACTAATCTTACTTCTCGCGTGAATATGATGCCTTACCATCTTTCGACTGAGTTACTGCTGTGACTTGTTACACTGATACTTTGATGAACGCGTATCTTGTTTCCAGGTCCTAAAGAGGCGGTCGACGGTTGATTTTGCGTTTGCGGCTCAGCTGGTGAGTTACTCATGATGACTTACCTACATTATCTTATTTGTGCAGAAAACAGCATCTGATATTTTAATTCCACAATAACGAGGTTTTCGTTCTAACAGGTCTGCAGGATGTGACGTTCAGTGGATGAGGCTGGTGGAACAGCTGCATTATCCTTGCATGGTGACGTGTGCGCAGAATTTCTGATCCCCTTGTGATTAGTCAACGAACTGATTTATTGTACCTGTTTGGAAAGCTGCATTAATGGTTTGATTCGGCTTTTTAGCAGGTGAAAGTGAGAGATGTCTGAAACGACCCGGCGTGATCGACTGGGTCACCTGTCTGCACCAACATCTCTGTTCTCACTTTTAACAGTATGCGCCGTTGATCAGTTTCTTATTAGTGTGTCTTTAGAATTGGAAGGCACTCGCTAGTTCAAACGGAATAAATGTTCTTTGTGAATGGCTGTTATCTTTAGGGTTGGGCTGGGCGTAGTTGCGAACATTCTCAGGCCTTGAGTGGTATTGTCCAATTTGGGCTAGTCAATGTGGCGGCTTAGGTCGCTAGCTGCTCGGGCGTTGTCTTCGCACAGGGGCGCGTGGTGTTTTAATTGCATCGTGGTTGTCGATGCAAACGCTACGGCACCGGTGCGTTGGTGGTGGTGCTCCCGATCTGGGGTTTTGTGTGACGGTGGTCGTTGGTCACGCCTCGCCGTTTGTTCTCAACAAGTGAATTAGTGACCCGATTGTCTATAATTTATGTGCAGGTTTGTACAGGACTGGGGCGGTTCGGTCTACTTCAGACCAAGAATGTTGTCCAGTTCTTCCAGATTTAGTCGGTCGTCCACCCAGGGTTGGTCATCCGTTGGGTTGTCCGGGTTGCCAGTAGGGTATTCAGTCGGGCTATTTAAAGGCATGTAAGGGTCGGGACTGGTTTCCTCCATATCGCCCATCAGCGTGTCCATGTTCTCGGTTAGGTCTCCGGACCACCAATCGTTTTCTAACCTCGGTTCTTCCTCGCACTCCATTTCTGACTTAAAGTCCTCTTGGCTGACCTGCTGATGCTGGTAGGAGCCTTCTTTTTCGACTGGGTAACTAGTCGATAGCAAAGGCACATCGTCTCCCTTATTTTTAATGACCGATTGGATAATCAGCTTGGGCGCAATGATTGAAGTCCTGGACAACGAGAGTGGTGGAACATCCTGATAATTGAGGTCTCGGAGTTTGGAGCGGATGTCAGGATGCAGCCTCCACATATCACCCCATCCTCCGGGCTCCTCTTTGCGACGTGGAACGCGTTGGAAGATGGAGTTACGCATTAGCGTCTGACGCAATGCTAGCTGTCAAGTCGTGAGGAGGAAATGGGAATGTAAGCACCATAAGCTATAAGACGGAATTTGAAAGTCCATCAATTTAGAAGGCAAGGCAGAATCGAATTATTTTTGCCCGAGCTGGAGGTGTCTTATATTCACAGCTAGCATGTCATATATATGACAAGTTTTTCCTTTGTTACTTGAACTGTTCTTTCCTCTAAATCTCACGCAGCAATCAGACTTAAGCCTACACCATCCCGCTATAACGCCTAGTATTAATCATTACTACACTCCATCTACTCGGTTACATAATGGTGAGCCTACATTGACGCCGTAGCATGTCTTTTCTCACCTTCCAGGTTGGTTCCGAGTCCCGATAGAACGCGAAATTCTCTGCCATCCAACTGTAAATCTCATCTAACGTAATCTTGTTCTTTCCCATCGCTTGCATGCTCATACAGATCAGCGCAGTGTGGGTGAAAGGTGGCTGAAGCATCTGGTTAGTCTTGAATGCCGCTCTCTCCTCCGGCGCCACATCCTCAATTGTTGGGAGTGTAGAGCTCAATGGTGAATCGGCTAGTAGGGTCATAGGGCCCAGAGCCCACAGAGCATGCGGCTGTTGCTGGCTGTTTTTGCTGGAAGCGCACATGGTGTTGGTGGATGGGAGACTCTTGAATATCTGAAGTGCCGGCATTGGAGTCTTAAGCCGCTTCAAAAAGGTGCTTCTTCGTTTGAAGAGAGGTCGAACACTCCTGTGCGTGTCCCGATGTTGTAATCCCCAGGACGGAAGTGCTTGTCGATGCGTTGATCGCGATGGTAGAGGACTTTGATGCATACCCAGACCGTAATTGAGACAATGTTGGCGATAGAGTTCGAGGGTGTTATGATGGTTGGGCTGAGTGGAATGAGGGTCCATTAGTGGCGACGAGGGTGGTGATAGTGATGGCAGTGGAGCTGCCAGCTTTTTCACGCTGATAGTCTAAAAAAGAGTACGAATCGAGTAATTTCTTTTCTTCGCGGAAGGTTTAGATTTTCACTAAGAATCGATTAATACGGGCTTCGATACTATTCATTTAACTACTGATTGAATTCCACAAAACTTCTTGCAGATGGTACAAGAAGGGATTTACGAATCTAAATATCCGATGAACAACTGACTTGGAGCCAGGCAAGATTTGTCAGTGATCCATCGTCCTCGCAATCACTGCTAAATCCACCACACGAGGCTTTGAACTCGTCGCCATGAAGGAACCAATTGTGACGTAGACGACGTGCTAACACCTCACTAGACTCGTGATGCATGTCTTGCGGTGGCGATGACGGTGGCAGTGGTGGCGATACAATGTTCTCTGAGGCCTTCAAATCGCTGCATCTAAAAGTACTGCTGCTCAATCGATTTTCATGCCGTGGATCAGCTGATCGTTGTGCAGGTGAGGAATGTCCTCAGGTCGTAAGCCATGGCTCCACTTTGCCTCTCCTCGATCCCCCTTCCCTTCACATTGGCCTATCTTATCCGCCTGGAAAAAGTGTAAAGAGAACTGTGGGGCTGAGGTAGTAAGCGATTGATCCAGGGACCGAAATGGCATAGAATTCGAATGGGTGCCACCCCCTCTCTGAAGATACTGCATAAAGTCAATTCACTTTCTTTAGGAGTGAAATACTTTCATGTAGCAATTGGTCCAAAAACTCCTAGCCGTTATGCATCCATCTTGATTCTAACACTAACAGCGGAATGTGAGGTCTAAGAGACTGTGTGAGTTGAACTGGTTCTAGTGTTTGGTTCAATAAAAGCTACGCACAAACGAGTTCAAGTAATACGAACACCATGCTTCAAAATATTCCTTAAGTCTACATTCTTGCTCCGAAAGTAATACATATTATCAAAAGGCTCGTCACAAGTTGATTCGCCTCACCGAAAGTGAGATATGGTTGAAGCAATGATACATGATCCAGAGACTGAAACATTAATTTACCGTAAACACAACCATCCCCTTCTTACATCTTGTAATGTCTACATGTTACATAAGTAGTGCAACACTTGGCTTATGTGACTACCTGATGTCTGGCGATTACTTTGAATTTTTTTGCTCTTTTACTGTTGGACTGGCTGTCGAGTCATGTCATGACCCAACCCCTTCTTATTTCCCTAGAATAAATGTATTCGATCCAACTCATGGCAACCCTCCATCTAGTGGGCTGCTAGAGGTACCATCTACCGTCAAATCGGTTATTTTAGCTCACGTTAGGCCAGCCTAATTACTCATGGCATAGGATATAATCCAAGCGTCTTTAATTGTGCAACAGCTAGCATGAATTCTGTGCTACTTACTTTTGTATGAGTAGTATAAGACAACTGAAATTTTTTGAGCTTGTACTGTTTCTGTCATCATTGGCAACGCACCCTCATCCTCTCCACCTCCCAATACCACGTTTTACCCAAAGAATTCCGCTTACACTTGTCTAAATAGTTGGAGGTTCTCAAGGCATTCCTGTCCCATTGAATTGCTCAGTTTATTAAAACCCCTCAAGGGTGAGGAGGTCAAAGAATTCCTCAGTTGAGTCGAAAAGACGGCTGACCGGTGCAGTTAGGCTGGAGGAGGCGGATAAATAAGTCACTTTGATGTGATTGACGACCGTCAATACGAGGCCAATCAACTCTGAGCTAAAGTCAACAAATTTCGCCAATAGCCATCACAGCAAGACGAGACGGAAGCGATTCCAGGTTGCTCATTTCCAGGGACAATTCACATTGTGAACCCATGTTAACTTCAAAATGTAAAGTTAAGTATTTTGGAACAGGAAAAGCTTATTGATAGATAAAGAGAAGTTAGATAACTCAATCTCGCTCTCATTCATCATTTCACATTTCCTGTTGCCGGGGGAAGAAGCTATCCTGCGGTACTGGACCGAGCACTTTTGCGCCGATACATTCGCACGAACTCATAAGCGGTTTGTCCGCAATCTGCAGTATTCCCGGCTAGTTTCTCCAATGCGACTGTACGTTGCCCATTTTTGAATTGGATCCCACCAAATTTAAGAGGCTTAGCAGAAGCATGTCGTTAAATTTTATGTCAGACCTTGAAGATGAAATGACTTTAGTCTCCGTGACACATCCAGAACTAAAATTGATCCATTTTAAAAAGCAAACAATCCCCAACAACCAAAGCCCCCTTGAATTATGTACCCTAAACACAAATTCCACAGGCAGCGCCGTTCGGAAGCTCTCTTCCATCATATAGGTGAGGCGGTCATGCAAATAAATAAAATTGAAGGAGCCCAAAGTTCCAACAAGTGCCACCAGAATACACCAACACTACCCTACTTTAACAAGCAAAGGTTTATAGAGTATTATCTGATTAATTGAAAAAGAGGAGAAGTTATAAACAGGAGGTAACGAGGCTTAACGACGCTGTGCCTTGCCGATGGAACGCTTGCCCGAGAAGAGATGTTTGGGCCGGAGAGTGGGGATGTGTCGGTCCGCTTCGCCCTTGCGCGACTTAGCGCCCACACACCGCGCCGCATCATTGCGTGCGCGCCTCACAGCTGCCACATGGGCTGCTTCATCACGCACACCGGAGCGGGCACGTGATCTTGAGCTTCGCTCCACCGCCGCCGCGTGCGCCGCTTCGCTCCGCGCCACCGACAACGAGGCCGCACGTCGCTTAGCCGCAGCCTGACGCCGATCTCGGCTTTGCTCCACCTAAAATGGAGCGCAAAAAATTATAAACAGCTGACACTTTTGAAGGCACAAAGTGCCAATATAGAAAAATTGCCGAAAAGTGCACAGTATCTCACCTGCCGGCTAACGTCCACCGAAAGACCTAGTTTTCCAAGTTCTCTTTTCATTTGCCTGCCAGAGACACCTTTATCGGCACGCGAAATGTGTCCCTTCTCCTTGTTCTTCCGGGCCTGCGATTCCAGAATTCGCAGTGCTCGTGCCTCACGAATCCTACAGCATCATCAGTTAAATGTGAAATGAACACCACAAACTAGCTTGAGAATGTCTAAGCACTCACTTCTTAGCTGTGACTCTGAGTTTCTGCATTTCGGGATCAGCATCATCTGGATCCTCTTCCTCGTCGTAGATGCCTGCATCTTCCAGAGCCTTTTCCTGCTCCTCCAGTTCATTCAGCCTAGCCTCAATATCAGGGTCGAAGAAGTCAGCGATATTGTGACCATCCACAATTTCGGGAATGACATCATTGCGTTCATGAGGATTCTTCAAAAGCCAATGATCGCGCAGATTAAGATAGAAATCATCACCTTCCACTAACTCGCGATCTCGCATTGTCATTCTTCGTTTGGCTGGTGGGGGCTGAGCCGAAGCATCCCCATCAATCTCCATTGGTATATTCTCGGTGGTGCGTTTCAGACGGCGCTTTTCCAAGACGGTTTCTGGGATATTTGGCGGACGATCAACCAGAATCTGTATGTAGTGAGAGGAACGACCAATGCAGTCTTCTGAGAACAATTAATTGGTAAACGAAATAGCATCCCGAAGTACCCAGTTACAAGAGCATTAACTCACTTATATAGCATTTAAGCAGATGGAAAGTTACCTCCTTTGGTCTCGCAATGTACAGACGATTGGCAATTGAACCCTCACGGAGACTAGCAGCACCGGCCCGTAGTTTGGCCTCCACTCGACGAGTGAGGAGGTCATCACAGGCACGAGCGCGTACCTCCATCACTCCGTCGCCAAGAAGGGTCGACATTTCCATAAAGATTGGCTTCTCCTGCCCCATTTCCTCTTCACCCGAGAGGCGACATATTGAAGTAATAAGCTCTCGTTCCTCGTCAGGTAGAGAGGCCAGATTCTTCACATCTGACTATAAGCACAAACACCTACTTACCACACACATCGTAGAATACTGATGTAGTTCAAAAATTTGACCCAAATCATGGAAATTTCTGGACGAAATAAATCCACACAGCTTAAATCCATTATACAGCGACAATTACTATACAAATATGGCTAGGCTACCTTATTGGCCACAACCAGTAGTGGTTTATTGGAGAACAGTGGGCTAAGACTCTTGAACAAAGAAATCTGCTGCTCAACAGAGTAGCCGCATTGCTCCGACAAATCCATAAGATAGATAACAGCAGCCTGAAGGTGAGCCAGAGCAGTAATAGCGACCATTTCGATAGTGTTATGTTCATCCAGTGGACGGTCTAACACACCTGGTGTGTCAATAACTTGCCATCGAAGATTCTTGTAGTCCGTGTGACCCACGAAGAGAGACTTTGTGGTGAATGGGAAGGGTTGAACATCCACATCTGCTCGTGTGATCTAAAAAGGAAGCGTTGAGAAAATTCGCAGCACACCTTGTTGATAAAACTAGACTTTCCAACATTGGGGAAGCCACAAACAATCAGTGTACGCGTATCCGGATTGATACTCGGCAGACGGGAAAGGTGCTGACGAGTGTCTTCCAAGAATTTGAGATTGTTCGCTTGGCGCTTAATGACAGTACACATTCTGACGATAAGGAACCGGGAAAGGTAACCCACCTTCCTAAAGCTGTTCGTTTAAGCGTCTTGCACTGGTAGAGAGATTCACCATACTTCAACATTTTCACTTGGTCTCGAGCGATGCTACCTACATCGCCTGCAGCAACCAAAAATCTTACCCATCAATTATATTTTTAGCTGTATTAATCTGACCAAGAGCCAACTTGTAGTGGTCTTTAGAATAGAGAACATTTATCAAGTCTGCGTAAAAAGGGTGGATAGTCTAGGACATTCTCATAGCCTCACAAAATTACCTCCACCATAGGAAACTCAGTGACGATGGCATTTAATTTATCGTGGAAGAATTGTTGGCAAGTCTTCACTTTCCGCATATAAAAATTCCGGATTCGCGGCATGGGGTACTGTTTGTGTATAACGGTAGGAGTTTTCCGTTGTGTTTTTGACAAAACAATGTCAATAAATTCCTGAGAATCGGAAAAGCAAAGATAAAGGCGCACCTTAGAAGAAGGAACAACTGTAATACTCTTGAAGTTGTAACCCGACATCGTGAGCACGGTCCGCACGAGTAACGTTCAATGAACCGCCACCGCATTGAAGAGAGTCAAACGAACAATCATAACGATACTGATTAAGAAATAACTACGTAGGCCAAATGTATATTGTATTTTTGCACTCAACGACGTAATATATTCTAGTTTGTTTAAGTGGACTTTTATAGGCGAGAAGCGGAAACCAATTGGAATCGTGGATCACGTGCGCGGGGTCGGCGAGGAGCCTTCCTGCGATTGACATCTCCTGCTCATCATATCTGCATTTTATTCCCCTATCCTTCTTACAGAGATGCCTAATCAACCGTCCACAACCAACTTCCTCTTAAAGTCTGAGAATCAGGGACCAGGAAGTAGACAGGCAGTGACTACAAACGAATCTAACTGATCCTAACATAAAACATGATTATTGTTAAGAGTTTACATATTCTACTTGAAAATTACGATAAATTTCACTATGCCTTTTTAAATGTGAGGCGCTAAAAACATCTTGAATTGCTCTACTTCTGTGTTAGTTTTTTTAGTGTATAATTTTTTTCTGTTTAATCATAAGCATATTGTCATGTCCAACACCTTTACCAAATTAATGGGAAGCATCAATTCATAACATTGATGGGAGTGGATAGCGAACTCAATTACATTGCTTTAGTTGCAGCGTTTTGAGACTTCCTACAAGACTAGAAGTTCAAGGTGGTATTGTAGCGTCCCGAGACTTCCAATGTGGTAGTAGAAGGCATAAGTGAGGTTGAATATATGTATTCCGAAAACAATAGGAGAAGTGGGGGCCTGAGCGTGGCCCGAAGGCCAGCCCACATGAACTGAGCCAACAAGTTCTAAAGTGACCGCTAAACGTCAGATAGTCACATAAACAAAGCATTACAAGCATTGCGGATGATTTAGCGCCTAGAGTTTTCCCACTAGTTGGAAGGAGACATTGCTTTGGAAAGAATACATGCATTTTAAAGGAATAGGGGATCAAGCTCTGGTCTAGCGCAAAGGCCAGTTCACCCGCACAAGGGCAAGATAAATAAAAAGGTAACCATCAGACATCAGGTGGACATGTGGTTATCACTCTCCTCTGCTTTTGAGTTACATCCTCGATGATTTCCTTCGTGCACTTTCTGCGCTATCCGTCACAACACACCCTTACCACAAGAAAATACTTATGAGCCATCAGCCCATTCATCAGCTCTCAAGACGGACGGATCGCGTCTTACATTCTGGTCCTACAGCCGGAATAAGGGCATCATACCACCGATGGTGGTCTAAAACGGATGGTTAAAAAGGGAGACGATCCATATGGCCTGTGGAACTCGGAGACAGGGTGTGAACAAACGCATGTATCAGTTTTAGTCCTTCTTCTGCAAAGAATTTAGATCATTTTTCGCCCGAAGTATAAGTTCTTCTTCTGCAACGTAGATATTTACCACAAGCGGTGGGAACTTGGATAGAAGACGTTAAGACAAAAGTCAGGTCCGATTTCCGCTGCCACCAGTGTAGCAACTTGGGACTTCCCATTAGGTAGAAGGAGGCATTATGCTGGACTGAATCCATGTAATCTGTGAAGAGGAAGAGCGGACGATCCGAAAGCTATCTCACGAGTACAAGGGCTGGACGAATGCCAAAGTAACCGCCAGACATTAGGTGATCACATCGAAGAATCACAGACAGAAAGTCATCCCAGGGGTAAAGGTGCGAGGTAAATACCAAAATACCCACCAGTTTTACAGATGATCTGATTAAAAATATTACAGCAATACTTTGTTTTTTTTTAGCTGTGTGAATGCGGGACTTGGCGATCATTTTGCCTTCGACGCGTGGGTTGGGCTTCCAAGCCAAGCCCATGACCCTTTTCATTTCAATGGGATGTGTCGATAGATTACAGTTTCGACTGGAACTGTTTTTTACTTTTTATGGCAAGCTACTAAGGTGCAAATGAAATGCAGACACCTCAAGCTTAAATATCTGTAACCTCCAAGCAGCTGAGGTTCTGAGAATGACGTCTGCTTTTGGCATTAATCCCATTCCCTCGTTCCACTAAATGAGCAATTAATAATGGAAGTGACACCTCCGTGAACACTCTGGAAGAGCTTTGTTTTGTAGTGTCCTCAACCTCATATTTCCATGGATGTCGGCGCGGACATTAAGCCAAGTTATCTCCCTCAGGAACGGTGTTCGATTACACTTTCCCTGTTGCGCAACTGTTTGACTAGTGTTCCACAATTGGCGGTCAACAGAGGTATCCTCACTGATTCCTGTTTTAGGCTAAACGTAACTCCAAATCCACTTGAAGTTGTTAAGAGGGCCATGCAAACTCTCGTTTGCACGACAAGCTTGCGGATATTTTCTTGCAGTAGCGAAGACGCTGCAATGAATGATGCTGATGACGTATTGAAGGAGGCCGTTCAAGAGGTGAGAGGAGCAACATAATGCTTTATTTATTCTACTACCTGTATGAATAGCGAACGCGTTGGCGGTTATCTTGCTTTGGCCGCGTGGACTGACCCTCAGGTCAGGTCAGATCATGGTATTGTTTCTGCATTTTATTGCCTTGGTACAAGTATTCTGCTACTGAGCAACTGCCTTAGAAAATTGCATATTCTTTCTTAATATAAGTTTTCAGCGATGCCTTTTTTCCACTACCAGGGGGGAAGCCTAGAGACGCTACACTGGTGGCAATGGAAAGCACGCTTGACTTTGTTCCGACTTCAGTCCTGATTTCCGCCCTTCGCAACAAACTTCTACGGAGTGAGCGAAGTGTACATACTTTGAACGGGAGAAACTGTAACTTCACCTAAGTGGAAGGGCTGAGAATGTCGTCTTTGCTTGGCTTCTATCTCATTCCCGTATGTCAAAGGCAAACTGGTAACAACTAAATACCCTGCCTTGTATTATCTAAAAAAAGATTTATCTCGAATTTATTTTTAATCATATTTGTGTATATGAATTGGCAATGATGTTTATTAACTTTTCCCTCCCACACTGATATCCTGAACCTGTTTTTAGGTCAGCGCTTCGAGATGTGGCCTTGGATACGAATAATGGTCAAATGAAGTTCCCACAAGTGATTTCTATTTTAAGGCCGAATGGAATTCCTCATCCAATCAAAGCCTCTGGGAGGGTTAGCTACGCCTCCTTTGCTAGCGCGGGAGGTGTGCTGAGTGGAAAACCAAAGACGTAGGTCAAAAGATAAGGGAGGTAATGAAATGTAGCATTCTAAGATTATAACAGGTGGAAGAATGCATAAAATTTTTATCTGAAAACAAACTTTCAAGTGGATCATATAATCAATTATTCGAGCAGTACTATGCTTAATTGCCTGTACCTATGACTGGTGTTCGCTTCAGCGGTCATCATGTTCTCGCTGTGCTAGCTGGCCTTCGATCACTTGCCTCCCTTCTACCTGAAAACAAGTGTTTGGCCAGGCTGCAGAACTCGACTCTCCTCGGCACTAATGAGCATTGTGAGATTTCTTTATGGATAGTCGAAGCGATGCAGCTTATGTTGGATACGGGTGCAGCTTAGGCTCTTGTCACAGCTTACAGACCAATCCATTAATGAAAGAGTAAATGGTCTCTCAAGTGACTGCCAAAGGTCCAGCAGCTGAACAAAGAAATAAACTTATTTATGGTCTTAAAATCATGGATTGGAAGAGTGACGAGATGTGAAATGTTGTTAAGGTCATCGAAGCTCCCATTCTGATGCAACGCAGGAAACGACTGAAAAAACGAATCTGAAAGTGGGGATTGACTACGAACATAAGAATGAAAGCATATACATATAAGTGATTTGTTTTTTTTTAAGACTGTTCCATCGTGTGCAGGCCCCTGAACCTCCAACTTTGTAAGAAGGTTGGTGAAAGAAGATTTATTTGTTATCCTATACAGAAAAGGAAAATGGAGGGTATTCATCCTACGATGTGTCATCCTACGATGTCTTTTATTGCTCCTTACGAACGGGACCCGTGTTCGAGTTCTTAATTTCCAAACTCTATAAAGGCAACTCATGCACAATTGTACATGTTACATCGTATTTCGAAAATTACTTTTGTAAGGCTAGTTCTTTGGTGCCAGCTTTTGACATTAGCGATGAGGGAGTGCGAATCGAAACCATTCGTTTAGTATGCTTTCCTTTTAACTGAATCTTTGACGGAACCTAAGGACCATTGCATACCTGTTTTTGGCACGAGCGATCGCTTTACTAAACTGATTATTAATTTGAGGCCCTACAATTTTCTCCCATGAAATGAGAATACTCACACTAGTGCACTTAACCACTACTAGCCCAATTACTCATTCGCCTTGCGACAATGTCAAGCTTGGGTCAGGGGTATAATGTTCTCGTCGTCGGAGCAGGCGGTATTGGTTGTGAGCTGTTGAAAGATCTAGTTTACAGTGGATTTAAGAAGATTTCGATAGTTAAACCCTTTGAATTCGTTTACCCTTTAGATTGACCTTGACACGATAGATGTGAGTAATTTGAATAGACAGTTCCTCTTTCGGAAGATTCACGTCGGAAAATCCAAAGCTGAGGTAAAGTTTCTGGTAGGAAATAGTATTTTGCCTTCAGGTAGCCTGTGATAGCATTAAACAAATGCGAAAGGATGTTGAATTGACGCCCTACTTTGCAAGCATATTCAGTTCTCAATTCGACGATGAGTTCTTCAAACAGTTTGACATTATTTTTAGCGCTCTAGACAATCAAGGTTTGTGTAGAAAAATTATTCTAAACAGTGCTGATTTCCAGCCGCTAGACGTCACGTCAATCGAGTTTGCGTCTCCCTAAACAAGCCCATTATCGAATCCGGAACTGCCGGTTATTTGGGTCAAGTGGAGCCTCTGATCTACGCTAAAAGGACTTCAAAGGGTCCTCAAGCTCCTTGCTTTGAGTGCACCTCAAGGGCGAATGACAGGCGAACTTATCCCACTTGCACAATTCGTAATACTCCCTCGGAACCGGTTCACTGCGTTGTCTGGGCAAAATTTCTTTTCAAGTTGGATTAAGTTAAAAGGAGAAATCCGTGATATGATTCAAAATCTTTACTCATGTCTTTTATTTCAGTCAGCTTTTTGGCGAGGCGGACATTGAAAATGAGGAAGTTTCTCCAGACTTGGAAGACCCAGAAGCACAGGACTCCGAGACCCATAAGGGCGATGAAATACTTGAAGAGAAAAACTCCTTATGGTCAAGATCCGCTCTTAGCGATGAAACCATAAGTCCTGAAGAGTCTCTTGCTATGAGACTATTTAATAGAGATATCTCAACTTTGCTGAGCATGCGAAGCTTGTGGGTGGATCATCCAGGTAGACGTAAACCATGTCCACTGGATGCAAGCTCATTGAAGGCGGCCAAAGCTCATCCAGGTGCGTGCTTTTGTTTGTGTACTTATTATTTTAAATCTGATGGCTGAGTTTCATCTACCTCAATGTGGATTGATTCTGTAGGTCTAGATGGTAATGATGGATCAGAGGGTCTGCGTGACCAACGACAAATGAGCTTGGAGGGTTGGATTAGTCTGTTCCTCTCGAGCACCAGAGAGTTGCGCAAGAGAACAGGCCTAACAGATTCCGGGGCTGGGGAACACAAACCGTTGGTGTGGGACAAAGTGAGTCACTTATCATCAGCTACTGTGGTAACTTAATTGGCATTAAGTTACCCATCATAAAAAGGGGAAATATTTCTCAGAAATTCATTCAAGCAGGTTTAGATCTTTTATATGTCGTCTTTTTTGGCTTGATACGTTCCTCCATTTCTAAGACAAATCGGCCACCACAATTGTCACACAGATAAAAGAAGTCGCACGTACTTTGCTAAAGAACACTACTTATTTTGTTGCATTTCAAGTTAACCGATCTGCTTGCTGAAAGGTGGTATGGTTACTTCTCGTAAACTCGGAGTAAATTCATGAAATACAGGTGACGTTGGCGAGCAAGGGCGGCAGAAGGTCAATGTTTAGTCTATTCGCATTTTCTCGTCATCACTATTGCTACTCACTGATTAAGTAAACTTTCTTTAGGCTTTGGTCACCTCCAAAATATTTGCAGGCCATATTTGGAATGAAACTGGCAATGCTGACTTTATTATGGCTTGGTTTTCGTACGATTTTAACATTAAAGACTATAGCGAATAGTCGCCGAAGAACAAAAGCACAAGAATTTGTCCTTTTTCTGCTTCTCTCGTTCAGTAGGATGGCAGTGCATCTGGTAGTTCTTGGGAATCGCCTCATTGAAAGCGGGTCTTGGCTCGAGAGTTTAATACTGAGTTGCACTTTCCCGAGTGAATTAATGGTGCTCATTGAACTTGACGAACGCACTTCACTGTCGTTCACTGCACTTGTGCTAACCTTGTCTCTTAAGCAAAGGTAGTGTCTGTGTGACGAAGTACAAATTACCTTCTACAAACTTGTAAATATGCTTTTTATGAAGAATTCAAAAGGCTTGTTTTGAGGAATTTGAGAAGTAGAATAACTTCCTGGATGGTCTCTGTTTTACTTTATGATAGGACCTTCCAGAAGGATCACTTTAATTGTTGACCCCTGTTCTTGTAGCTACTGGATCTTGAACCGTACGTTTCGTCCCATACAAAATGGGAGATTTTTGACTGACTAAGTATTGTGAAAGGTTGCCAGTTTACGTTTCTCTCAAAGATTCGGAATCGAGACCAAAGGACCACGATCACTGCTTATCAAGACGTTAAAACATTCTTCACACCCTTAAGCAATAACCTTGGTGAAGGAAGCAGAACTCCCATGTGTGCAGAAAAGCTGTACTCTATTTCTTGAGAGTCTTACCCATCGGAGAGTTCAAACCCCGCTCGTGTGGAAAAGGTTACATTTTAAAGGGGACTGATGCCGTGATGCAGCACAGTGGCGTTTGGCTTATTTGCCAGCAGGCGTTTATGGTGCTCTTTTTTTCTGCAAGCGGCGGGAGCTTTGAGTTGGTTTTGTTGCTATTGTTAAAATCAAATAAATTTGTATGGTTTCTATCACTTCAATTTAAATGATACGTGAAGCTTTTTATTCATCATCACGACTTGGAATTATTGGGATTTCCACTTTCATAAGGCGCTGTACCTCGATACTCCAACATTAACTTACCCTTTAGTTATCTCAATGGTTTTATTTCCTTCCTGTCGACTATACTCCATGTAATCATCGGAAACCAAAAAAAGTTGACAGCCATTACTAGAGGTGATTACCATCGTGAGGAGGATTACAAAAGATGAGGCTAGAAACGGAGCACCAACCTTTGTTCTCCCTTCCTCACTTTTTTCCTTAATCTAACCCAATTAGAAGTCGTCTCACTGGTAAGTTCTTTGGGCACTAGGTGAGAGCCTGGTTGTTGATGGTGTTTTACTGGCCCCACTTGTTATTTTTAAGAAAGGAAATGCTTTCGCTGTCAGATGGTATGGACGGATTTAACGCGTAATCGGTGTTTGACATTCCGCAAGTAAACTTTCCCCTGCACTCTTGCGCACACCCATTGGAAGCAGAATCGGACTTAATGAAGCGATGGATGAAGTGGTGCGCGCTTTAATGTGGAGTTTTATCTGCAAAGAGGAGGAGGTATGACTATTTGGGGAGGGCAACCGGTAACCATTCAACGAATTTGCTAAGAAACTCTCGCCACTCTCCTGGAGCCGAACTTAGCTCGGTTATGATGGTAACTGAGTTTCCACCACATCGACTCGAGGTTATCGCCCTGATTAACTGGGTGCTTATTTTGACCATTTGTGTAATCCCCCAAACAGAAGGGATCGGGGTTTCATTTTTATCCTTAACGCCGGGGGAAAAATTCGAATCACCGTTCATCCATACATCGACCGCACAGTTTTGGGTTTTCCTATTGCTTTGGCTGGATTTGGATGGTGACGAAGGCATTGAACTCAGAACGTCCACAAGGGCTGTATTGCCTCGTTGCAAGAATTCACCACTGCCATGATCTTGGGCCACTCATGTAGAGTAAGTGTAACAGCAACTGGCAAGAGATGAAATACGTGCTTCTGTCGAGCGAGATAGGTGACAACTTCAACAAACGACGGCTTCTCTTTGAGGAACCTACAGCCCTTCATCCAGAGTGCATTCGATTCTGGTTCAGATAGAACGCCCTAAATATTTGATTTTCTCCCCAGTTAGCCATTCACGAACTGATCAGCCAGATAGTATAGCAAGTACAAACTCAACTAGCGAAGTAATAACCACTTGAGCGTTTGTATTCCCTGTATAGGATGATCGCGACGCCATGGATTTCGTCACTGCAGCCTCCATTATCCGTGCAATCCTCTTTCAAATTCCCGGTGCCAATGAGCTGACACGGTTCACAGTGAAATCCTTCGCTGGGAATATTATCCCCGCCATCGCCACCACCAATGCTATAATTGCCGGTGTCATGGTGCTGCAAGCGCTCAATGTTCTCCAGGGTCGAATTGATGTGAGTAAACCCTTCTCATCCTCTCTTTCAAGAAATTATGTCTCCAATTGAATTAGGTCAAGTTACCACTTTCCTATTCCTCTATAGGCGGTGCGCACGGTCTTCCTCCACCGACAACCGGCTGGTTTTGGGCGTTTTCTGGCGCCCTGTCGCCCGCCTCCACCGAATCCCAATTGCCTTGTGTGTTCAGGGGCACAGGCGCAGGAACTGCGCCTTCACTGCGATCCCACGACGATGCGTCTGATTCATCTGAAAGAGAATGTGCTTATAAAACATTTGGGCATGATTGCTCCTGATGTGGAGATAGAGGGCAAAGGAATCATTCTCATCTCTTCTGATGGCGATGAGACGGAAGGTGAGGCGTAAATGTCTACTGAAAACTTACAAGCACTGCGACCATTTTGGACATGGAATTTGCTTACCCATTTTCCTCTGCTAAATCATTATCTTTTGAGTAGACGTGTTCATCTTTCCTTTCAATTTAATGTTGGAACTGAGCAATTTGGCCTGCAATTCCGTCGAGGCGGGTCGGCTGAAAAGAATAATGAAATAATTAGTGATGCGAAAGTCAGGATAGATGGTCTACATATAAATGCCTTTTCTTCCAACTAGACATTGAACAAGAAACTCTGTCCAACTTCAATTTGACTGGGGAAGGCTGCCCTCGTTTGCGCTGTGATGATTTTCGACAGAACATGACCTTCTACCTGCGCATCGTTTCTACTCCGCCAGGTCGCGATGACTTCATTTGGCGTGTCGAGGGACAATACGAGGCACCGAATCAGGAGTCTGCTAAAGAAACGAATTGTACGTTGTAATCCTTTGGGCTTTTTGCTGTCTAGACTCTTTTCCCTCACCAAGTAGCATGTTTTTAGTCTTATAACTCGTCCCCCACTTTCACTCTCACTCTAGCTTCCGAACCACCCCCAACTGGATCCAAACGCCTACGCGAAGCCGACGATTCGGACATCGAGGAGGTATGCACTTCTGGTGAAGATTTTGAGTCTTTACGGCCCTCCAAGGTCCTTAAAGTTGGTCTGAATGAAGGCGGTGTCGAGGATGAGGATGGGGAGGTGGTTATGTTGGATTGATGCTAATGCCGACCGACCTTTCCGACCGATTTGTGTCACAGTTTTGCCATCATGTTAATAAAGAGCATTTTGAATACTGAACCGAGTTGTGTTTCTGTGGTTGATGACACTATCCTCCCGATGTCGTACTAATTCCTTTGTCCTCTCCTTCAGAGTAATGGCTTCGAACTCGGCAGAATTCGCGACCAAGGTTATCGATTGCTTCTACGAATTGCCGCCCACCGATGTTCTCTCTCTTAAGGCCGAAGCAATGGAAGTCGAACCTTCTGCTTCTTCCTCACCAGTTCATTCATCTTCTGCTCCTTCTGAACTCCCACCTATCTACGGCGAAGAGGTTTCAGAAGAGGTTAGAACCTCTTAGCACTCCGCTACTGTTCTGGAATCAACTGTCTTTGGAAACTCAGACTGTCTTCTTTCATCTTGAACAATTTGAGTGAGAAGGGGATTTTTTACCTCCTTTTAGTGGATAGAGGCGCATACACAATTGACTCAGGAGATCTCGTCTTTGCGTGACCAACTATTGCGTCAACCATTGTCCTCCTCGAACGTCGAGTTGGCGTCGTTGTCAGAGTCTGCGCAGAATCTGGCTGCGCAGATTGTGGCCCTCCAGCGGGGTGTGGAGAGTCTGCATCAATTTGCCTCTCATTTAGCTCAAATAACGCAGGCTGCTGATCAAATCCAAGAGGTTTGCCGCCTTACTTACTTGTGTGCTTGGAAAGGAGTACCAATGAACCAGAAACGTCATATCACTTTCCCTTTTAGGTTTCGGAGAAGCTGGCGGCTTTGTCCACAGAGGATTCGACAGGGAGACCTCTGAAGTTGCTCCAGGAGGTGTCGGAAAACATTGAAGCGATTTGTAAATAGGTGGAACAGGCAGAGGAGCTCCGATGCTTAAATATACGCTTTTATGTGTTACGCTCTCACTTCTCCTCCAGGTTGTGTTAAGCTTGTCTGTGTTAATATGATTTGCTTCTACTACGTTTTTATTTGGGTGTTTTTCGGTTGGGGTCGTGAAACTACTGTTTTGGGAAGTTGTTTGATGATGTCATTTATCTTAAGGTGATGCCCCTCGTTGAGGACGTCCCACTTTGCAGTTGATTTTTATCACTTCTAGCCGACTCTTTCCTTTGAATTGAGATTGAGAGGCTAATGAATGACATTGAAATTTTGTTGATGTCTCAGCTTTCGTTTTGAGGGGTCCAAGGTCTGAGCAGCCTGGTTGGGTAAGTGCAACCCTCCGTACATCCAAGCTTAGCATGGGAGACAGGTCATCTCGGTTGTTTTACTTATATTGGAATTAGTAGCAAGTCTTGCTTTGTTTTAATTTTAGCCGCATGTCAGTGGGACAACGTCTCACTTTGGCCATTTTTAAACCTGACGTGCAGCGTATAGAGGTCTACCGCCAGGTCAGTCCACCGCCTCTTTGTTGTTGATGCAAGGTTCGTGGTCTTGTTTTTCGGCTTTCGGACTAATTTGTCAGGCTGCTATCGTGCATACACTCGTAGGTGTTTGAAAGCTTCTTTATTCCCAATGCTTACGAAATGCTTCACTTCATTAACTTTTTGCGTCTGCCACTCATAAATTGTTCTCTCTTTCTCCCTACTTCTATTTTTCTCACTTTCTTAGACTTCTATTTTTGGTTCTTTCTATCTTTTCCCAATCCTTTAAGCTATTTTCAGTGCTTAAATCCAGTTTGCTTGATCTGCCGACTTGTTGGATTCAAAAGTTGCGTTCCCCAAATTCTCCCTCCGCTTGCTCATTATCGATCCACTTAACTAATTCTATAGGCACTTTTTGATGTTTGTCTGTCAGTTTGGCTGCCTATTTATGTCTTCTATTCCTCAATCGTTCTTGAATCGTCGGACCGCTGGGCTGCTGACGCTTCTAACAAGGCGTCCATTCCTTAGCTTTTTATAACTCACTTTTGCACTATTTGGCATCTCCTTCCATCTTGTACTTTCATTTTTTTACTTCCACCATCCTCCGCCACTCCATTTCTCTTATCATTTTGTAAAGTACGCGGAAGGAGCCATTCGCAGGATTGGTTTGAAACCGCTGCTCTATCGCGAATTTCGTATGTCTCGAGGCCGCGCTGAAGAATTTTATGCTGCACACCGAGGTGCGATTTCTCACTTTTCTTCCACATTCCTCTTCGTATCTCTCTTCTGCTTCTCACCTCTACTCGCTAAGGAGATCTAGTACTTTTCTTTTCTGCCTTTTCTAATGTAGGCAAATTCTTCTATCGGCGTCTCGTCAACTACATGATGGCGTAAGAGTGCGATGTTTAAATCCCTTTTCCTGTTCACAAATCCTACTCGCTTGTTTGAAAATGTTTGCCCGTTTGCCATTTAAATACTGGATCTCCTGATGTGCCCGCATGACTGGGCTCGATGTCCTGATCCCTCCTTATGTCCTCCTCCCTCCAGCGGCCCGATCGGTGTATACGTGCTGGTCGGTGAGTCGGCCGTCTTGAAGTGGCGAGAACTCATTGGTCCAACTAAAACATACAAGTAGGTTTTAATTCCAGCCTCCCTTCACTTATTTCCCCTTTAGAACTGTCATTTTCCAACCAACCAGCCTTCGAGGATGTCTGGGTCTAACTGACACGCGCAATGGTTTCCATGGTTCAGGTGCGAAGTGATTTATCGTATCCCTGATGCAAATACTAGATGGCGATGAGTCGGCGGAGGAGGAAATAAAGTTCTTCTTTCCTGACTTCGACTTTACTCTCAAAGGCATGGCTTGACGCCTATTCTTTCAAAACTGTCACTTTCGGATGATTCTTTTGTGCATTTGTCTTAAAAAACTTCCAGGTAGTCGTGCTTTGTTTGTTTTTGCGTGCTATTCTCTTGTTTGTGCACGAGTGAACGCGTTGATACTATGTGGTGAGTGATGGATGAGTCTAGTCGGGTTATCATGAAGTCAGCTGCCAGGGATCAGGAGGCGTTCATGTATGCGCATGCTGCGTGTAGGAAGCGTCTGAATGGTCGGTGAGAATAAATGATGTTATGAAGTCAGATGTGGCAAAGCTTTCAAGCTCCAGTGATTGCACTAGCACCCAGAGATTCCGAGTGACAAGGAGCAACAAATTGACGAACTGCTTTTACAAATGCATGCTCCAGAGCACTGGTCAGGTTTTATCTCACAGCCTGCAATGGGTAGCGCGGTCTCGCCTCCGTTGTCACATCTATAAAAGGAAAAAATAATAAGACCAGCGGGAATTCACAATGATTCAGCAATGATTAAGAAGTGCTGGTCACTGATAGATGCCGACAAAGAATAGCTTCATAAATGTTTAGTACAATAAAGAGATGGTTAGAAGCATACTGAGACTATTCTGATTAGCTGTTGTGCTTTTGTTTGTTCTTGGCCGCGTGAATTGGCTTTTGGGCCAATCCAAGGTTTCACGCCTTCTTCATCTCCCTTAATGCAAGCATTCGGCCCTGCCAGGTGCCTTCTACAATCTAGGAGAAGTTCTGAGACGCTACATTGCTAAACTCTGCTAATTAGTCGAATGATTTCCAGACAAGAACATTACGAAAAAGCCGACGAGCAACGGTTCGATCTGATGATGCACTGGTACCATACATGCAGATACCCCAAAATAGGATTCCCTTGACCGGAAAGTAGAAACCACTCTTTTCACTACAAAAGGTTATAATCCAACCAGCAGACGAGACTACAAGGAAATTCTGTTTTTTAGTGGAGAAATTCAAGATTAATAAGCGCATATTGGCGTTGGGCACGGGCAG